ACACACACACACACACACACACACACACACACACACACACACACACATCTTCATCTCTTATAACTTCACAGGCTTCCCCTTGCCCAATTCTGATTTTCAAAGACTTATTTTCTTCCTTAAGATTCTGGGTCTCTGGGGCAGTTTAGGTAGAGCTGTGGATAGGGCTAGAGCTCTGGCCTTGGAGTCAGGAGGATCTGAGTTCAAATTTGATCTCAGACATATAACACATCCTAGCTGTATGACCCTAGGCAAGTCACTTAACCCCACTGCCAACCCCCCCCCCAAAAAAAAGAAAAAAAAATATTCTGGATCTCTTTTTCTAATTGGTTGACTTTCTTTTCATAATCTTCTTGTTTTTCTTGAATTATTCTTATTTTTCTTTTTAGTTTTTCCTTAATCTCTCTCATTTGATTTTTAAAGTTTTGGGCAGGTAACCATTTAGCATTATTCTTTGGGGCAGAAGAGGGTTTCTTTGCTTCAGTATCTTCCTCTGAAGATGAACCTTGATCTTCTCTATTCCCATTGTAACTCTCTATGGTTAGGTTATTTCTCCTTTGCCTGTGCATTTTGTTTTTTGTAATAGTTTAGTTTTTATAATCACCTCTAGTCCTGGGGTATGAGAGATGGTGCCTCTGGCCTCAGGTCTTCTTCATTTCTCCTCTCTGACCTTGAACTCAAACCAAGACTCCCAGCCTCCTGTAAGTTCCCAGAGCCAGTGGTAAGACTGCTCCACTGCTTCTGTACTCACCATGGTGCTGGTTCCTTCTCAATCCGAATGCTCTCTGAAGCACAGCTGGGTCTGATGTTCCCTGTCAGCAGAGGTTCCCTAGATTTTCCCTAGCTCAGATGCCCAACTCCCCTCATTGTCCTGGAGAGGAAAATTCCTGTGGCTGGGGCTGAGGCAGTCTCCCAAAACAGCTAACCCCAGGACATACTGCTTATTGTTTAAGAGGTCCCTAGCCTAGAGATGCTTACTCTTCACTGGGAGGAAATCACTTCCTGGGATTTTTCTTCAGATCTTCTGTGATTGTCCCAGGAGGAAACCCTGTTCTGTCCCTATTCTTACTTATTTTTATTGTGCTCCATGTTCACCCAGAAGTGCTATTTTATCTCTTTT